TGCTTAAAATGCGAGAAGATATTTTTGAAGCCAACTGCCTTCGACTTTCCGAGAGCTCTGCCTGAGGAATCCACCTCGAAGATCCGCATGGAGGGATCGACACTGCAACCGCCTGGAGGGAACGGCATTGCAACCGCCTGGAGGGATCGGCACTGCAACCGTCGGTCCTGCTGATGACGCCGCCTGACCCTGCAGATCTTGTCTGCCCTTGGGCGCCTGTAATGGGATTATGTCGGTCACTCAGCCAGCTACCCAGGCTGTATCATAGTATGTTCTTCCCGACTCCTAAATAACTTAACCATGGTTTTAGGGTTTTCTAGGAAAGTTAACACCAAGTCCTAGGATTAGTTTTTCCCTATAAATAGAGGATGAAACCACATTGTTGAAGACTTTGGTTCTACCCAGATTTGAGCTTAAAGTTAGGGAGAGAATGTCTCATCTTTCTTCGTTAATCCTTCTTGTTGTGGTATTTCTCCTTGACAAGCCCGAGGGAGTGGCGTCCTGAGCATCCGAAAGGAGCTAGTTCGCTGGGAGCAGTTCTTGGTGGCCGAGGGAAGTATTGGGCAATGCACTTCGAAGGCTTTCTCTCATCCCCTTAGTTCTTTGGTTTCATATTTTGTTATTGGGTTGTAAGGAACGGATGAAACTTGCTTTGTGCTTGTTTATTTCGATCCCCACCATGAACTAAACATATTTGGTGGGATTTCACTTGGATGTTTAAGTTTTATTTCAATGAATGGTTGTTTTTTCTATGTTTCAATCTATTTTGTTTATGAGACTTAATGCCTTAAGGTTGTATGAGCTACGATAGTAGCATTTCATTAGGAGGTATTGAGGGTTCGAGAGGATGCCTTAGCAAAATATCCTTAGTATTCGAGAGAAACTAGGGAGAAACTACATAAACAAGGGGTTCTAGGTAGTAAGGGGTTCTAGGTAGTAACTAGGCCTAATCCACCTTAAAGATAAGGTTAAGATTTCATTTAACTAAAAGGAGTTGTGCAAGAACGATAGGTTAGATGTTAATGTTGCCGCAAAAAGGTATTGCCGAGACATATCCTGTTATCTGGACCAATAGGATCACTGTAGGGGTTTACGCCAATCGGTTTTACCAGGGCATCTTTAATCTGTCGAGTCCCTTACTAGAGATAGCATAGGGCACCTTAGTAAACTCTGTCGGGAAGACTAGGCATAGAAGGAAGACCATTAAAAGAAATAGACTTAGATTTTCCTAGTGACTCCTATCACTCGTTCCCATAGTTGCTTGTCGTGTGAGAAAGCTGAAGTTCTACATTTTAAATCTAGTATTTAGACTTTATTTTACCTTGACATTTTCATTTGTTTGTACTTATCACAATTGAAATTACCACGACATTTCATCCAACTTGCCACGACATATTCAATTGCAAGCACACTACCATCATTCCATTTTCACATCAGTCATTCCATTTTGCCACAACATTCTTATTTATACATACCATCACTAACTTTGCTTAGGTGACAAAGTAAAGTGCCTTGACAAACTTATTTGATTTTCCAATTCCCTGTGGAGACGATACTCAACTTATCACTGTATTACTTGTTTGATTGTGTATACTTGCACATATATCCGCACTCATTTATAGTACTCACAAACAGCGGACAACCTACTGACGGATAGAGGTTTGACATTAATTTTATCGGGGTGGGTTACTAAGGCTCACTATATGCATGGTTTCGGCATTATGAGGAAAATGATACTCGAATTGTCCTTGTTGGTGCCTCCTTAGGCTGCCAAACACTCAATCTTGGCCCATTACAGGCTCGTGCGAATCGAGTTCAATTTGATATGATACATTCCCTTATGTCCATACGGAGAAACGATTTATCTCACGTAGACATAAGGTATATGAACCCCAAAGGTTACTAGCTAAAACCCATGCGGAGAAACAAATTATCTCACGTAGGCTAAGCTTTCACCTTAACTTAAAAGGGACAAAGCTCGTAACTGGGCTTATGATATAAAAATGTGCGTGTTGTGTGAGGAGAAACTCACAAACCTTAAAAACAAGACAAAAGATAAATTTTACAAGCTAAAAAACCTGTTCAATTCTGAAGATCACTAAAATAAAAAATCAATTAGTTTTAAAAAATAATATGTTGAAACTCAAAATAAATAAAAAGATCAAAAATTAAATACAATTTAAATTTGTAATTCCCAAAAATAAAAACAACATGTAATCGTTTATGGCCTGACTCTCGAACTCCCCACCGGAGTCGCCAAACTGTCATAACGTCTCCCCGGGGGAGTCCGTTAGACTTGAAAATTTTAGTTTCGGCGAAAAAAAATGAAATTCAATTTAGAAAATAATTTGATTTTGAAGTCGCCACCAACCTTTAAGTTAGGTAGGTTGGAAACCTTAAACGACAAAAAATGGTATGTGTTTTAACAAATATTCATTTTTAAGAGTTCGAGAGTCAGTTACGTGTGGGGAAGGGTGAGCACCCCCACAAAGACCAAATTTTGGTACCTAAACAATTATATATTGTTTAAAATATTGGGAATTACAAACTCGAAAATAGATTTAAATTACGATCCTTTTATTCATTTGATTTTATTTAAATAGTGTGAATAATCTTCGGGAACGCACTTTCTTTGTAGTTATGAGACTTTCCTGTAGATTCCCACTCAAAATGTTATTTCGCAATTTTCGCAAAGATAAAATAAAATAAAATAAAAGTGAAAAGCGGTGAAAAATACTCGAAATAAATAAACGTGGAAAAAATAAAATTATCGAATACAACACAAACATTTATGTGAAAAATCCTCGTAAAGACACATTCCCTTGTAGTTGGGAGATGTCTTCGTAGATTTCCCGCACAATGAAATTTCCCACTTACATATTTAGAAAACAAAATGAAATATATACAAAATAAGGAATAATCATATTCGATTTAAAATACTTAATTAGAAAAAACATAAACTTAAAGGGCTAAAATAGTAAAAACCTAAACTTAAGGGTCTAAATAGAAAATATAGACATTTAAAGGACTAAAATAACAAAAACAAACATTTAAAGGATTGGAATAGCAAAAGTAGAAACTTAAGGGAGTAAAACGATATTAACATAAACGAAAAGGGCTAAACAACAAAAATAGAAATTTAAAGGACTAAAATAACTAAAACAGAAAGTTAATAGACTAACAGTAATTTTAAATAAACCAGAGCTAAAATCACAAACATTAAACAATATAGGCACTAAAAATGAAAATAGCCCATAAATAATACTCATGACTAAAATGCATTAAAACAGAAACATGAAGGCCAAAGAATAATTAAACCAAAAGTAAAACAGTGACCAATATGGAAGTTTCATAAACAACGAGAACAATGTCCAAACTTTACAAAATATATATAATAATAGTCAAGTGACCAAAATACAACTTGTACAAATTCAGGGAATAAAGTCAAACAAATAAATTACAATTAGTGGCTAAAATACAAAATTACTAAAACCAGAAGCCCCAAAATATAATTTAACCATTCACAAAACATGAAAATGCCCCTTCCCTAAACGACAACATTTTGATTATGTGATATAAGCCCAAAACGATCTTCTATTCTCTCCATTCCCTCATTTTTCCTTGTTTCAGCAAAACTAAAGAGAGTGTGTGAGAGAATTCTCACAATTCTCTCATCGGAGAGAGAGCCAAACGCAGCCGCAGGTGGCGCCCGCGGCTGCCGACGATGGTCGGAGTAAACAAACTAACCCAAAAGCCTCCCCTTTTCAACCTAAACCCGAAAACTAACCCCACTTAGCCTAAATCCTCTCTAAAATCCCTAGATCTAAGAGTTTACCTCTCGAAACAAAAGAAACTGGTGACCCCTTCGGCTTCCCGACGCTCCTCCGACCGAGGTAAGGGCTCTCTCTTTCTCTCATTTGGTTATTTTTTCTGTTTTTTCTTCGTTAGTTTGAATGAGTTTTTGGTTTTTGGTTTATGGCTTTTACTTTTTTTTCTTCCCATGTTTTCTTCTCACCCCGAATACTCTATGATTTTCTTCTACCTTCTTTCTGATATCTCTCCTCTAGTTTTTATGTTTGCCCCCCTCTGACTTTGTGATGGATGTCTATTTGTTGAGATAATAGGGCATGAGTGCCCTACCCTTGCCTCTGACAAAGCCCCGATCTCATTGGGATATCAATGGATTTCTTTTGAATTTTTTCACTTCTTTCACTGTTGATGGGTTATTGATTGATGAGTGTTTCTATCACTGTTTGGTGCAGATATGTCGACGGCGACGTCAGGCATTGAGGAAGCAATCGACGGTGGCTGCTGAACAGAAACCCTAATGTTTCAGGTCATATTAGGGCTCCAATCGGGTCTAGATTGAGTCTGGGTTGAATTTGGATCATGGATCGGATCCTGGGCTGTTGAGTAGCTTCGGGTTGGATCAGCTGCTGGGCTTTGGTACTGAGTTGGGTTTGCTAGATGTTGGAGTTGGGTTGATGTTAGCTGAGTGGGTTTTGCTTGTAACTGGGTCAGAGTTGGGCTTATTGGACTTTGGGTTGTGAAGCCTGCAAAATGTAAATATATTTTGTAATAATAATAATAATAAATATAATATTTTTGTAGACCCGGACAAAAAAAGATGTCAAAAAAATAATTGATTTTTATATAACATTATACATGTGATGAAAGGTCTCATTTTCCATCACGGAAACATGCAAATTTTAGTGGCCAACACGTCCCTCAAAATGACCTAATAGCTCCCCTTGAAAGGACCTGTACGAACCTGCATTTATACTCTTAATTATCTCCGAACATTAATGACACAGACTTGATATATTTAGGCATATATGATATGTTTTGATCAGAAACAGTGTAAAATTAATAAACAGGATAAAGTATTACAATGGCTACAAAATGGATAAAATGTATTAAAATACTTTATGAACATTGTATTTCGTGCAACAGATCGTACATCTTGTTTCATATATAATTCGAAATCGAACAACATCAACCGAAGCATTCAAGAGAGAACGTTAGGACAAAGAGTAAGTGGCGGAGGTCGCGTTCTTTAACGGCACCTGCGTTGATTCTTCCACAAAGCGGGCCGAAGCCGACTCCAGCGGTCGATTTGCTTCTTCTTCATCTTCTAAGAACAAATCGTCCGTAGTTCTCAACATGCCATGTCCTAGAACAGCAGCTATTCCGACCGAAAGGCCGACTATGATATTATTCGTCACACCCGTTAACATAAGCATGGCAATAGTGACCCCCAACAGGCCTGTCATCACGATACGATCGTCGATGATGAACCCTTCGATTGATACCGGGTCGTCCCGTAGGAAATAAAGGAACAGCCATGCGGCCATCATGATGATGAAGACTATGAGCGATACGGGTTGCCAAAGCAAAGTGAGGAAGAGAAGAAACAATATGACAATCACGTAATTCACACGGAAATGCGCTGCATTGGTTCGAAATCTTTGTATGGCATCGTTTAGATGTGTGGGGAGCTTTATGGATTCGGTCTTCACCATCTCCTTCCATTCTCTTCGGGTGCAGAGGCCGGATCGGATCTGCTCTCTTGCTTGGGAAATAAAGTTCGACGATGGCGGCAACTCTGCCGGAATTGTTCCGTATGTTGTCATTATTTAATGATTAGGTTTGCAAGAGAGAAGAAATTCGAGTTTATGCCATAGAGATGGGGGGAGAGACGAACCTGAATTACATGATTTGCTAAATTTAGTGGGAATTATGTGTATGTGTAACTAAATATAGCTTCTAGGTAGGTTCGATATTTCATTTTTGGTGTGAGTTGGTTGGATACTTATCATTTTCGTACCATTCCAATTTATGTTTACGTAATTGTTTTAAGATTAAAAGTTATTTATATTCATGTTAATTTTAAGTATTACTTAAATTTAAATTCAATTTTAGAAAATCAACATTATATTCGAATCCCTAAGATGCGTTTGGTTCACGGAATGTAAGATTATCAGGGAATAGGAATACTGTGAATGTTGTATTTGTGTTTGGTTGGCTTAGCAGGAATGTAAGATTATCGTGTTTGGTTAAATGAATAAAAGATTATTGAAATGTATATTTGACCAAATTGTCCTTATTATATATTTATTTTTTAACAAGTTGGAAAATATTTATATATTTTCTTTAAAAATTAAATTTACATAATTTATATAATTTTTTTTTACAAAATTTAAAATATAAAAATGTTTAATGAAAGGGTAAAATTTTATTTTAACCCCTGAACTTCATATAAAATTTTAATTATAGACTTTTTTTTGTAAATCTAAAATAGTTTAAGGATAAATTTATAATTTAACCTTCATAGAATTTTTATTATTCAATGACAGAAGAATGATATTTTTGAAAAAATAAATTTAAGGACATTTTAGTCCAAAACGCCGGTAATCCAACAATACCTAAGTAAAGGGAAGTAATGACATTCCCGGTAATATACCCCAAAAAATCTACTATTGGTAATCTTACATTACCGGAAATGATATTTCCGGGCTAACCAAACGAGGGAATGTGAATTTCATTCCTATGAGAATCCCATATTCCCCCATCCAAACGTCCTAAATACATTATCCGTAAAATAAAACGAACTGTATATTAAATATATGACAGTTGATATCTCATATTTGTATTTGCTTTAAGTACAATTCAAATGCTAAATTAAATAGTATTAAATTATAAAAATAAATATTAATAAGCTTGTTAGAGATCTTTTTGACTTAATTGTTTTTTTCTCTTGCTTTGTGTCGCAACCGTCCTTAGAGTGGGCCCGTAATTGAGCTTCGACTTAAATAAAACACGTTAGAGCCGTCACTGATCATTTTTAAAAAATATTTAGGTTGATTGTACACCATCTTATATGATATGCATTTTACCATAAATATGTCAGATTCGGGAGTCTGGTACAGTCAAGGAAGGATTAACACCCTTGTACTGCCCTTTCGGTGTCATTTTAATTTCTCGGTTGTCTTAATTGAGAAAATTGAAATTAAAATTAAAATTTAAAGATTCGATTCAAATTTTTTACCTTTGATTGATTAAAGTTGTCTCTAAAAAGTCAAAAGAAATAGTAAATTTTAAAATATATAAATATATAAAAATAAAAAATAAAATAAAATTGAGAAAATATTAAAATTAAAAAATAAATAAAAAAATAAAATAAAAAAGAAATTAAATTAAATTTTGAAAGAAAAAATGTTAAGGAAAAAATGTTAATAAACATACAAAAATAGAAAAATAAATAAATACATAAATAGATAAAAATTAAAGGATCAAATTGAATTAACTTAAAATTTATGGATCTAATTAATACTTGAAAATGAGCTGCAAAAAAAACAAAAGGTTAGGGGGATTAAATTGTGAAATATAATAAATATAATGAAGAATTAAATTGAGTTAATTGAAAATTCAGAGACAAAATTGTAACAGGTGACCAAAATGAATTATGCATCAAAAGTATAGGGACTGCAAAAATAATTTAAAAATCTTATAATTATAATGTGGTCCTCCCTATAATAGCCCAAAAATTAGAAGAAAAAAAATCATTTTTATCCCATTCCATAAAAAAACACTCCCCCTTCACAAAAACTCTCTCAACCTTCTTTCCCACAAGTCCCACCGACCAATAGTCGACCACCTCCCCGGTGACCAAAACGTCACCGCTTCGCCCCACTAGTCACTGCCACTGGTGGCCGAAAAAATTTAACAACACGAAAATGCTCTCTCCTTTTCGATAAACATGAAATCAAAGCTCATTCGTCCTAAAAAGGACCCTACGATTGTAGATTTAAGTTTAAAGCCTCGAAATATACCTTTTCCGGCGTGACTCTTCATTTTTCGATGCAACCTGGGGCCAAAGCTCTTGGCTTTTTATGATATTTCTTTGAAAATACTCGAATATTCTTTTGATTTTTGCTTGGTTTTATCTACTTGGTGCTTTGTTTTGTTCGATTTTTTCCTTGCTATGGATTTTCTTTTCTTTGTGCACGATGCACTTCGTAGTTATTTTTCCCGGTGTGATTGCGTTTTTTTGTCTTCTTGTGTGTTTGCTCCCCGTCGTATATATAGCCCCTCCGACAGGGTTGCTTTCGGCTATAGTAGGATGGTGTATTCCTTATCCCTGATTTTTTGGGTTGTACATTGTTCGCGATTCATTCTGGAAAATAGGGGATGTTCTCTTTGGTGTCGAAATGGTCAGTTTAGCACCGACGCGTGGTCTCACACACCCGTTAATGACTCTCTTGCGGCGCCCTTCTCACATTGTGTGGAAAGCCTAGTTTGATTGGGCTGGGTCAAGCCCGGTTTGATTCCCTTACTGGACTGGACTCTAATTTGGACCTAAAAACGAAAATAAAAAATAAAATAAAATAAATAAGTGAAATAAATAAATAATATAAATAACTAACTATATAAAAAATAAAAATTATACATTTTCAAAACTGCTTTTAAAAACTATATATTATATATTTTCAAAATTATTTTTGAAACTATAATATATATATATATTTTTTCACAAATTATTTTTCAAAACTATATAATATATTTTCAAAAATCATTTTCAAAACTATATATATATTCAAAAAATCGTTTTCAAAACTATATAATATATTTTTAAAAAAATTATTTTCAAAACTATATATATATTTTCAAAAACTGATTTTTTTAAAAGTATATATTATATGTTTTCAAAAACCGTTTTCTAAAAACTATATATTATATTTTTTTCAAAAATATTTTCAAAAACTAGACTATATTAATAAATATACTAAATAAGCCCCGGACGAAAATGGGTGTCTACAGCTGCACTTCTTTGTCTTTTTTCGTGTAACAAAAAATAGGTCAAAGATAAAAGGATACAAATTTTCATTCGGTATAAAGAGGTCCCTGAATCTAATATATTCCCTTGTGGAGTTGAAAATTGACTCTGATATTGCAGTTAGGAATAACTCCCTGTTAAATTGAGTTGTGGATGACTCATCCGTCATAAAGTTGAGTCAGCCTTGAAATGAAATATTTTTTCATGAAATTGAAATCGTAGTTTGGAATTTGAATCGGAAGGTGGCTTCTTGTTGCCAAATCGTAGTCAACCTAGTTCTTCTTCTCGGTTTAAAGACCTCAGTTTGAAAATTCATCCGGAAAGTAGTTCCTCGATGCTACCATGTGGTTGATATGCCCTTGAGCTGAATGGAATCGAACTCTAAGGTTTTTGTTGACAGATAGCCCTTCTCGCCTTGAGCTATGTTGTAGATTATGCTAGGAGATAGTCTCATGTTGTTGCAAATGACTCAAATTAAGTCAATCCATTGGGCACGATATCATTCTTCGCGAAATTGAAATTGTGGGTAGCTCTTTCGTTGTGAAGTTAAGCTCTGAGTTATATATCCTCTATTGTGAAGTTGAAATCCAATCTCGAGTTGTTGTGCTTCGCCAAATTGGATTTGGGTTGAATATCCTTCATTGTGAAGTTGAAATCCAATCTTGTATAAGTTGTGTCGTTTTGAGTTTGATATCTTTCGCTGTGAAGTTAAAATCTAGCACGAAACCTAAACTGGAAAGTTGATTGTTGATAGACAACTTTTCTCGACTTAAGCTATGTTGTAAATTTCCTCTAAATGAAGGATGACCCACATTCACGAGTCTAAGCCGATCATAATTCTTTAAATAACTCCCCTTCATGGGAAAGCCAAGTGGAATATTCTGTCAGCCGGATATCATCCGTCGTGGAGTTGAAATCTGGCTTAAAAACGTTAACTGGAAACTAGCCATTCATCGTTGAGTTAAGCTGAACTGAATATGTTCTGAATTGGCTTTTGAAAAGTTGATTCTAAGATCTGTAAATCTTTCAATAGGTCAAGTTGGTTTGGGTGTAGCTCCCTACCGCTGAGTTAAGCAACCACCATCAATCTTTTTTTAAGGTACTTTTGAATCGAGCATATTTCGTCTTGAAGTTGAAACTTGACTCTAAAGCTGCAAAAATTATGTATGCGAAAAATGATAAATGTGATGCTCTTAAGTATGTCTAAGATGTATGCAACATGAATTAGCTCTTGTTTTATCTCCTGGATAGAGCCTCACTTTTGTCTATTGACCTTGTCCTTGGAATCGATCATGCCCCGTTTTATTCTCGGGTTGCTGCCAATGTCACAAGGGAGTGTTACAAGTTCTATCTGATCACACGGACTATTTGCTTTCAAGAATGTGAAATACTCCATTATTCTGGCATTGTTTATTCTTTCTTCAATATAGGCAAAGTGAGTCTCACCAGCTTCAAGGACCTTTCACATTTGAGACTGTCCTGTTTGAAAATGTTTTTCTCATTTCTTTTTTTTAGGAATCAAATAAAAAATTATAAAGTATTTCCCCTTAATTCAGGCTCACAATCAAATCACATCATAAACATGAGTTTACAGAAAATCAAAAGAATCAATAGCTCTTTAATGCTTTCAGATTTATAGTTCTTTGACAAGTATCCAAATTGATGAGTTGGCTTCAGGTTGGCTTCCTATTTTCTAAGGTTTCGGCCACCAGAATGTCATTTCTTTCTCGGTCCTTTTTAACATTGCAACATGCCCTCTTTCTTAGCTTGGTATTTTAATCGGATGCGGATAAAATGATGCAACCAACATAATCAATTACTAGACTTTCTAGAACACTTTTCTTTTGATTCTTTGATATATTCCATTTGTTCAAGCTTCGTAGACTCCTCTAACAAAGGCAGTGCATCAATATCGGTCTAAA